GAGGGCCAGGAGGTCTCCCCTCAGCCTCTTCTTCTCCAGACTGAACCCCCCCAGTTCCCCCAGCCGCTCCCCAGCAGACCTGTGCTCCAGACCCTGCCCCAGCTCCGTTGCCCTTCTCTGGCCACGCTCGAGTCATTCAATGGCCTTTTTGGGGTGAGGGGCCCAACACTGAACCCACTCAGCGAGGTGAAATATTCTGTTGCTCTAACCTCCATCCTCGGGCTGTAGCTTCTGCGTAGCTTACGTCCACCAGCAGCGTAAGCTCAATGGGAAGCTTGAGTATTTGGGGTTTTTTCGTTCCTTGGCCTAGAATGGCTGTTAGACGTCGCAGCTGTGAGTTTTATTTGGGCTGCCCCCCGCTTCTGTGCACTGTTAGGGACAACAGGACAGCTGGAAAGCGTTTGGAGTAGGGACTCCCTGCACAAACACTGGTTTTCATTTGGGGTAACCTGGTACAAGAGAGCGATTTGCCTTCCCCGGGGCTGTGTGAACTCCCCGGGCCGTGCGCTGAGCGGGGCTGCCCGCAGCGTATGGTCGGCTCGTCCTAGTGAAGGAGGAGTTTAGGTTGGCTGAGGAGTTGGTGGCAAGAAATTAGGTCCCCCAGAGGATTGCGGTGTGTTAATGAAACGCATGGGCACTAGTAGAGTGGAAAAAAGAAAATAAAAAAGGCCTGACTCTACTCTTAACTTGTAGATTTGTAGAATTACAGCCCCTGCCTGAGCCCAGGTCTGCTGGTCTGTTTGACTTGAGCTTAAAAATCCAGAGATTCGCCCGGTCCGTTTCTGCCTTAGCCCTCATTCAGAAATGATCTTGAACCCGGAGCGTTTGTTGTTGCTGAAGCAGGTTTAGCTCAGCGCAGCGGGGCTTCTCTGCCGTGGAATGTGATGAGGATGCTTTTCTTGTTTTGGTTTTTATTTTTTTTTTCAGCCCCAGTCTCTCATTGATGAATTGCTATTATACAAGCGCTCGGAAGACCAGATAGAGCTGAAAGAGAAGCAGCTTTCCACGATGAGAGTCGATGTGTGCAGCACCGAAACACTTAAATGCTTAAAAGGTAAAGACGGCGTTTAACGAACAAAACCCGTCCTAACTGAAGGAGATGCAGATGCAGTCGTGGGAGCGCCTCGGTTCCGTTGAGCCTTAGACCAGAAAATCAGACTCTTGTCTGTAAAACGCTAAAATTTTAAAGTGCTGTTAAGAACCACCAAGCAGGAGCCTAAAATCTTTGTTAATTCGAACCCGTTTGTAAAAACCCGCGGGTGCGGAGCTCGGGCAAAGCAGAAGCGATGAAGATGTATTTTGTACTATGCAAACACGCCCTCGTAGGTCGTTAAAACATGCATTGTTCTTCGTGTGCTCAGAAACCCTTAAATAATTTTGGATTGAATATTTTAAATTAATTAAGGCATCCATCAGTGGCTACGGTTTGAGAATGCCAACTGCAAGTCCGACAGCAAGCAGCGCGTGTTAGGCATAAATGAACTGAGTTATGTTGAGCCGTATTAACAGGAAATTTAATTGTAAAAACTGCAGATTGCTCTAGCTGTGCTTGGTAACCCGTGACTGCAGTCTTTGAAAATGGTCGTTTACGGTCGTGGTCACTCGTGGGTGTTGTGAACCCCAGTGATTTTAGGAATGTGGTAACAAAGGGGGGGAAAAAAAAAAAAAATCAGTATTTTTGCCTCTTCCAAAATGGAAGTACACTCTCTGGGTGGTTGAAAGGTTAAAAGTTTACACTTCTGTGTCTTGAATTTATTTATCGCTAATAACTAGTTGAAAAACTGCAGCTTGGCCTCTGTCTTGAACGATGGGTGAACTGGGGAGCGCACGGTGCCCATCGTCTGAGCTGCCCCGTCGCTGCCGCCGAGGACGCGCGTCCGAGGGCCGATTTCCCGTTCGGCGGCGCACGGCCCCTTATTGACGTAGTGTTCATCTCCTTGCAGACAAAACAGGAGGAAAGAAGTTCTCCAAGGAGTTCGAAGAAGCAAGCTCAAAGCTGGAAGAGTTTGTGAATGGCTTAGACAAACAAGTGAAAAACGGCCCTTCTCTCACTGAAGCCCTGGAGAACGCCGGGATCTTTTATGAAGCGCAGTATAAGGAAGTCAAGGTGGTAGCAAATGTAAGTACACGTTTTCCTCGGGCAGAGCGACGTCTGGCTGCGGTCACTGAGCATCTCGGAGGCTGGAAAATGCATCTGCTCTCTCTTCACAGCTTCCCTTATTTGGTGCGTTTGTTGTACAAACGGTTTTAAGAGAGCGGAGTTGAGGGTGTCGGGCAGGGAAAGGAGATGCTACAAAAATCCGTGGGTCAGCAGCTCGATTCTTGTGTGTCGCTGGGTTTTTAAACGGGGGCAAAATTACAGTTAGTCTTAACAAATCCTAAATTCTGGAAGCTGCGCAAGTTGTGATTAATATGCAAACTAGTTAAACAAACAATTCGGTAAAGTGTTGTAAAAACAACCAATCACCCCAACCCTACAAAAAAAAAAAAACAAAAAACAGGCAGCAGATTTGTTAGGGAACTTTGTGGTTTTTATGAAAATCGTTTCAAATTGCTGGAAAAAGGTTTTGCCTTCCTGTTTTTTTTCTTCTTTTGTGTGTGTGGTTGTTGCTTTGCAAGCCACACTGAAAAGCTGAGATCTTACTGCAGGGTGCGGGTTACTGATGAAATGGTTTTCTAAGGTTGCATGCTGCTTCGTTAGGGAAGTAATTAAGGCATGCTCCCTGTAAAAGATACTCAGTCTGATGTCCGTCCTTTCTCAGGCTTATAAAACGTTTGCTAATCGAGTGAGCAATCTAAAGAAGAAGCTGGACCAGTTGAAAGCCACGCTGCCTGATCCGGAGGAGTCTCCTGTCCCTTCTCCCAGCATGGACGCCCCATCCCCGACGGGCTCCGAGTCGCCTTTCCAGGGGATGGGCGAGGAGGACAACTCCCGGTCTCCAGTGGTCGGAAGCCGCAAGACGACGTCTCCGGAGCCTGTGACGGATAATCGGGATGTGGAAGACATGGAGCTCTCGGACGTGGAGGATGATACGTCTAAAATTATCGGTACGTGCTGGGGGGCAGCGGAGGAGGTGCCGTGTCGAAACGATGCGGGGACGAAACGGCCCTTTCGAGCCTTGCTGGGACGCCCAAAGCGCTCGTGGGGCTGCGGGTTGGGGCTGTTGGGTTTCACTCTCCTGCCCCAGCCCCCTGACATGAGCGGGGAAGTCTCGATCCACCCGTGATGGTTCCCACCTCCCAAACTGCTCCTCCGATACATTTTTACGTAGCCTGCGGGAATCAGACCTGGTGAAAATCCTCTACCCCAAGTAACTCATCGGGGACAGGGTGACGGTTGTGCTCTTGTTCTCCCCTTCCCTGCTGCAGTGGAAGAGAGGAAGGAGAAGCAGGCTGCCCCACCTTCGGCCCCCGCCAAGGCTGAAAGCGTCCCCAAAGCGGTTCCCTCGACGGCCACGACGTCGGTGACGGTGACGCCGCCCGCCCAGACCCCTGCGACCCCCCCGGCTCCGAAGGCGGCGAGCGCAGCCCCCGTCCCCCCGGCGCCAGCACTTGCCTTGCCCAACCTGGCCAACGTGGACCTGGCCAAGATCAGCTCCATTCTTAGCAGTTTAACTTCTGTAATGAAAAATACAGGTGAGTGCTGAAGCGATACCAGCCCACGCGTTTGGTTAACGGAGCTAACGATGGAGTTTTGTAATCTTTTAAAGTTTTAATTGTCTCAAAATAAACACAAATGAGTTATTACATAAAAGATCTGGCTCGGTCTCTCTGACACACGACTGTCGGCTGCGTGAGCCTCTCTTTGCTCAGCGGAGCTCTGCTGCAGTTGTATCCGTGGAACAAACCCGAGCCAAGGAAAAGCTTCTGTTAACGAAGCAACGGACGTGAGTGGTGTGTGCTTCCATCCTAGGTGTCAGCCCCGCCTCGAGACCTTCTCCGGGAACCCCAACCAGCCCAACAGCTCTTACTAGTGGCCTGAAGACTCCTGTCATGGGGACTCCATCTGCTCCTTCAAATCCGTTAGCAAATATTCTCTCCAAAGTTGAAATAACTCCTGAAAGTATTTTGTCTGCTCTCTCCAAAACCCAGACTCAGACTGCACCAGCGTTGCAAGGTACCGGCGTGGGTCTTGAGGGAATGGCTGACTCTGTGTTTGATGGCTGAAACGTGCTTATCCTAAAGCAAAAACGAATTGAGGGGGAAAAAAAAAAAAAAAAGTGATTTGGAATGTGTTACGTCTTAGGCAAATGCAGATGACTTTCTCAGGTGGCATAGGTGTTACAGGCCAGGGAGTTTTTATTACTTCACGTTTTGGCTGAACGGGATGGGAGACCGAGAGAGGTCTTTGTGGTTTTTGTGTTCTTTGCTTTTTTGTTTGTTTGTTTGTTTTAGAGCAGAAACCTTCAAGAGGTGCTGCTCCTGCTTCTGCACCTCGCTTGCCTTACCCTGCTCGGTAGTGCTGGGTAGTTTTTTTACGCCTGGCTACAAAGCTAGGATGAGTTATTACCCAACTTACTCAGATGTATGTTGTAATTTATATTTATAGATCAGCCTGAGCCTCTGGCAAAAGTTTGCACCTGGGCGGGTGCTAACGTCAATATTAATGCGGCAAAATCCAGTCATTTCCCTGGCTAAAACATGAAGTGGTTTTAAGGAACGACGTCTGCGGTACAAATACCAAAACCTTTCTCTTGACAGCGGCTCAGGTTCACTCGCCCCTTACCTGAATATCTGAACACAACGTTCTTTTCTTCCAGGTTTGTCATCCTTACTTCAGAGCGTTGCTGGAAATACCGTTCAGTCGAGCGAAGCCGCGTCGCAGAGCACTTCGGCATCGCCAGCCAACACAACTGTTCCTTGTGTGAAAGGGAGGAATATCCCTTCCAGCACTCAGTCCTTTATATCCAAAAGTTTTGGTTATTCGCCAAACTCCTCTACTGCTGAGGTTTCCTCGACTTCAGTTAATAAGGCTCCTGTTGGACATACCCCAGGACTGTCAAGCTCCAGTTTTAAGCCACCAACCAATTCCTTGGGATTTTCCAGTTCCCACCCTACCAGTCCTTCCTCACTTCTGCCAACAGAAACCTCACTGGGTCAATCCTCTGAAATTTCAAAAGCGAAGCTGGAATCGGAACCCCCTTCTCCGAGCCTGGAGATGAAGATACACAATTTCTTGAAGGGAAATCCCGGCTTCAGTGGTCTGAACTTGAATATTCCAATCCTCAGCAGCTTAGGGTCCAGCATCGCCACGGAAAGTCACGCGTCTGACTTCCAGCGTGGTCCTACCAGCACTTCCATGGACAATGTGGACGGAACACCAGTGCGCGACGAGCGAAGCGGGACCCCCACCCAGGACGAAATGATGGACAAGCCGACGTCGAGCAACGTCGACACTATCTCCTTGCTGTCCAAAATCATGAGCCCCGGTTCTTCGACTCCCAGCAGCACGAGGTCGCCTCTTCAGAGCCGGGACGACGGATATTCCCAAGAGCTCTCCAATTCCGTGCACACCTACCGGCCCTTCGGCCTCGGCAGAGAGTCTCCGGCCAGCTTGTACAAGCAGTCTGCAGACAGCATGGAGATCCCCTCCTCTTTAATGGACTCCTCGCAGGAGAAGTTTTACCCAGACACGTCTTTTCAGGAAGACGAAGATTATCGCGACTTTGATTACTCCGGGCCGCCGCCGTCGGCCATGTTAAACCTGGAGAAGAAGCCCGCCAAGTCTATCTTGAAATCGAGCAAGCTCTCAGAAGCTGCAGAGTACCAGCCAGTCCTGTCCAGCTACGGTCAAAGATCGCAGGAATTTGGCGTCAAGTCGTCCTTTCCCCAATCCATGAGGTCTATTCTTGATCAGAGCGAGAGCTGCGACCCGCTGGCGTCGTCTCCGGGGATGTACGGGAGCTACGGCCTCAGAGGAAACGACTCCACCTCGGACGGCTCCCCTTCGCCCAGCAAAAACGACGTGTTTTTCACGCCGGACTCCAACCACAACAACTTACCGAAATCCGTGGTGCACTCCGGCCTCGCACAGAAGCAATACCCGGACTCGCCCCACTCGCTTCCCCACCGCTCGCTTTTCTCTTCTCCAAACACCCTCTCCAGCCCCGCGGGCCGAGCTCCCGCGGCGAGCGTGGAGAAATCCTTGGGTTCTTCCATCTCCGCCACCTCGACCATCGAGTTCAAGAACATGCTCAAAAACGCCTCCCGCAAGCCCTCTGAGGAGAAGCATTTTGGTCAGATTGCCAAAAGCGGCTCCGGCGAGGGGGTGAGTTTATCTGGCGCCGCCAAGGGGGAGCCGCAGCCACAGGAGGAGCACTACCGCATCGAGACCAGGGTCTCCTCGTCCTGCTTGGACTTACCCGACAGCACCGAGGAGAAAGGGGCCCCCATCGAAACGCTGGGTTACCACAACGCCTCGAGCAGGGGGATGTCAGGAGAACCCATCCAGACCTGTCTC